TGATATGTTAGGCATTGTTACATGGTTTAAATACATCACTGCATTTTCTTTCACAGTGACTTCTGCCTGAAAGAGTCTTTGAATCCTTGTTGCACGTCCCAATGATGAAAATTTGGAGTTGGTGAACTCTAAGTTAGTCCATATGCAAAGAGTAAGAAAACTGACATGATGTGAAACTAGGGTAATTGACAGCTCAGGTATTTTAAGATATCTTTGAAGAGCAAAAGACAGGTAATCCAAACCAATTATATTCTTTTTTTTTTTTTAAATAGAATTTTGGAGAAGATATTGGGATATTGACAGAGTTCATAGCAATGCTAAGAAACAGATGTCAGGACCAAAACACCTGGAATCCAGGGCAAATATGGCATCTAAGCAGCAGGAACTAGTCAGCAATGTGGTCAGGGCTCAGTTGCTGTAATAAAAGAATTCACATTGTTTCCTCCATCCTTGCATCCACTCTGCTTCCAGATTGAAAAACCTGGAAGACAATGTCTGTCAATATTTCATCCTGTGTCTAAGGGAGGGAAAGGCATCTTAATATAGCCCCCTCCCCCACAAGACTGCATGTGATGGGGAAGAAGAAACCACAAACAAGAGCACGCTGTTCCTACCAAGACAAGAGGAAATGGATGCTGGTGGCTAAGAAATAGCCTTTGTTCAACATGGCAGCACCCATTTAGCTTGTCAACATACAGATAAGCTTTTTCTTTTTATTAAATGTTTTCTTTTGAGATAATTGTAGTCACATGCAATTGTAAGAAATAATACAGAGAAAACCCATGTCCTTCTTAATTAAATGAAAACAAACACATAGATGGATGGAATAGAATAGAAAGTCCAGAAATAAACTCACACATGTACAGAGAATGTGAATAGATATTTTTCCAAAGAAGACACATGGATGGCCAAAAAGTACATGAAAAGATGCTCATCATTGTTAATCACCAGGAAATGCAAATAAAAATCACATTGAGATGTTACCTCACACCTGTTAGTGTTACTATTATCAAAAAGACAAGA